TAAGACGTTTCTTACGGCCACATGTGTAATTTGGTAGTAGTGTAGACCAACAAAGGAAAACAGTCGGTGGTTCTCCAGATAGCGCCATATGAACTGAAAACACCAATCACATCTGTGCAAGCGTTTAGCAGTTGTGCATGCGGTCGCGTTATTAGTGTGTAGTACGATTTGGTGGCTGCCATAGCAGCCGACATAATTAATGTTCGCCTTTTTAGGGTTACAATTGTCCTGGGTTATTTTTTTCAGGAATTAGGATTGATACGAAAGCCAGCCTCATTTATGACATCAATATGCGATGAACGAGGCGATGAGCTGCTCTATGCGGGTGTCCCAATATCACGAGTGCTTGAAGAGGACATCGGCATTGGTGGTGTTCTCAGTTTACTTTGGTTTCAGGTGTGTAATACTGGAATTTGAAGCGCACGCACTTATTTCGAGAAAGCAGTCAGCTTTTTCTTTTTTATGCTTTTTTCACATCTATGCAATGCAGAAAACACATATTGACTAGCAGTTGTCTCTGTGTGTATGTCTGTATCTGCGTCTGTACCGATTTTTTATCTCGAGACCTCCAAAAGCTACAGGGCTGAAACACTGGGAACTTAATATACATGTACTTGCGGGCCCCTCTTCCAAAAATGGGGGCTGTTGCCTAAGTGGTTCCCCAGTAGGAACCCGCCTAAGTTTTTTCGGGTAAGTTGAAAACTCGGGAAATTGAGAAGCTAGAAAACCGAAATTTTAAGGGGATGTTCTCCGCCCACGTAGGTGTTTATGAGCTCAACCACCCTCCCTCCCTCTCCCTCCTCCGGTGTGCCTGGTTCCCTCTTACGGGCCTGGGAAGGTTTTTTTTGGGTAAGATGCTAACTCGGAGAACAGCAAAGCTAGAAATCTGAAATTTTAAGGGGATGTTTCTTGACAGCCCTGTCGGATAGTCAATCCGTTTAGCCAGAAGCATCTACGGGGAAAACCGGTGTCGTTAGCGGCAAAAACCTGCGGGGAATTAAGCAAAAAACGTATCTTCGCACCGACATTTTGTGCGCTAGCCAGTTGTTTTTCTGTTGAAGCTGTATTTAGTTTAGTATTTCAAGCACCATCATTAAACTTTTCTGAAAATGA